GCACATACATAAATTGGAAAAAATAGCAGTCGCCTTCAAAATAAAAGCAGAACATGTGGAGGGCGGGGCAGACAAAAGTCCAGAGGTGGCCCTGGGGAGTGTAAAATGCCCAGGTCTTTTTTCTTTTCTTTCTTTCTTTCTTTTTTTCTTTTTCTTTTTGCTTCTGCAGTCAGTCTCTGATACTGCTTTGCAAACCTCGGTAAGAGTGTCTGCGTTGTGGCCCACCAGCGGCCAGCACAACTGGCAGGAGAATCAGACAGTGAGGAGGTTGGGGAGGAACTTGGGCCTGTCCTGGGGGCTGAGGGAAGCTCGGACGAGGGCTCTGCGTCGGAGGCAGAGAGGGAGTTAGGCAGCAGCAAGGCAAAGGAACAGCTGGAGCCTGTTCCCAGTATGCACATGCGCAGAGCTGCCAGAAGACAAGAACAACTCAGAAAACAGGGTCAACTCAGGAGTAAAGCCACACCTTGGAGATGATTGGCCCCTCCCATAGGACATAAAAGAGGAGCGAACAGGAGGTGGGCTTTTGCAGGAAGCAATTCGTTCATCTCGTTTCGAGATTGGAAAGTTCTGTTCGTGACTCTAACAGACTCGGTGCCAAGTTCGGCCTCGCTCTGCATTTGGAAATTGGTTCTCTGGCAGCGTTCCAGGTGAGATAAGGTGAGGGTTGATTAACATTCCACTGGAAAGACTGTTTGCCAAGGCCTTGTTGACTGTGAATGAACGGAATTCACAGTCGTGTTAATAAAAGAGGTTTTACCGGGATTAAGATTTTGCTTCATGCTTTCTAAGGAAGCCTAGGTAACAGTAACAGAGTTGGAAGGGACCTTGGAGGTCATCTAGTCCAACCCCCTTGCTCACGCAGGAATAGTCTGTGGAGATTATCAGTCATCCCGGTCATGGCTGTCACCAAAGGTGTTTTTTCAAGAGGCAACTTTCAGGATATACCGAACACACCAAAACCTGCCTAAAATCCACTAATTCAACCATCAACACTAACACTTCCAAGCGTTTGTGGTTGTCTTACAGGTGACTTTTTCAAGAGGCCACTGGACTTTCTTGTTTTTTCTTTGAAGACGTTTCACTTCTCATCCAAGAAGCTTCTTCTGCTCCAACAGGATGGTGGGAAATGGAAGGATTTATATTCCTTGCAGACAACTGGTCATTTGCATCCTTTTAGAGGGTCGTTGGAGCCTTGGTAGTACAGTGGTCTAAAACACCCTGTCTGCAGACCAGCTGCCTGCAATTACTGCAGGTTCGAATCTCGCCAAGGCTCAAGGTTGACTCAGCCTTCCATCCTTTCTAAGGTAGGTGAAATGAGGACCCAGATTGTGGGGGCAATAAGCTGACTTTGTATAAATATATACAAAAGGATGAAGGCTATTGCTGAGCGCATTGTAAGCCGCCCTGAGTCTCCGGAGAAGGGCGGCATATAAATCAATTTTTTAAAAAAAAAACAAAACAGAAAGTCCAATTGCCTCTTGAAAAAGTCACCTTTTGGGACTTACCTGTAAGACAACCCCAAAGGCTTGGATGCGTTAGTGTTGATGGTTGAATTAGTGGATTTTAGGCAGGTTTTGGTGTATTCGGCATCTCCTGAACGGTGCCTTCTAATCAAACGGGCTGGAAACCTACCTTGGGATAGGGATTGTTTCTGATAAAATACAGGACCCGTGGACTTGTCATTGGTTGTTTTCATGTCAATCTGCGCCTCCTGTAGGCATAAGGTTTGTCATTGGTTGCTTTTTTGCATACGTTATAGGCTTAATTAAGGCCCTTGTTAGATCTGACATTTGAGGCTGATTTTCAACCGTGTTATTGTAGTGTAGGTACTGATGAGTCAAGGCGAAATGCTTGCATCTACCTCTGTTCGTCTTTGGACTGTATAGTTTAAAATGCAGGTAGTTCTCGGCCTTGCAACAGTTCCTTTAGTGCAGCGGTCACCAACTGGTGGTCCATGGGCCACTAGTGGTCCGCAGAAAAATTATTTGCATTTTTTATATTGCACTAAATCAGGGGTCCTTAAACTACGGCCCCTGGGTTGGATATGTGCAATGAACGCTTGTGTTGCAGCAGAGAGCCTCCCCCTTTGGGGTCTTTTTGTGTGAGTAGGAGGGGGGCAGAAATTCCGACTTGGGGTCTGCTTCAGCCTCCTGGTTTTGGGCAAAGGCTGGAGGGAAGGGCCGCTGGTGGCGAAGAGCCAGAGGGCCTCATTCCAGTGGGACTGCCTCATGGCCTGGAACTGGCTGACCATCGCAGCCCGCTGAGCCTCCAGGTGCCGGTACCTGGCCTTGCACTCCCGCAGGTCTTCCCTCTGCTTGGAAAGCCTATGCTCCTAGTCCTCAGTGAGGTGTTTCTGCTGAGCCTTCTTCTTGGTCAGATCCAGTTTGAACCGAGCCAGCTGTTTTGCCAACTCTTTCTCCTAGTGGCTGCTTAGCTCCAACATCTGCTTCCTGTTGGGCCCTAAGGAGCCTGGGCAGGCAGGCGAGGAGTGGCTGGGAGGGGAGGGGCAAATAGAGACTGGGGAGGCACCCCTCCACGTGAGTGACATCGAGTTGGCCATGCCCACCCAGTCATATGACCACCTAGCCACACCCACCCAGCTGGTCATTAAGCAGATTATATTAGTGGTCCACAGAATTTAAAATTATGAATTTAGTGGTCCCTGAGGTCCAAAAGGTTGGTGACCCCAGCTTTAGTGACCGCTCAAAGTCACAACATCACTGAAAAATGTGACTCGTGACCGTTTTCCGACATGTTTCCGACAGTCGCAATGTGCGCATGATTTTTCCCTTTTGCGACCTTTCTCCCAAGCAAAGTCAATGGGAGGAAGCCAGATTCACTTAACCACCGGGTTACTGACTGAACCAGCTGCACAGATTCTCTTCACAAGAAAGGTCGTAACGTGGGGCAAAACTCACTCAACCGCTGTCTCACTTAACAACGGGAATTCTGGGTCTCAGTTGCAGTCGTAAGTCGAGGACTACCTGTACGTGCTTAAGCTGGTTTTGATTGAACGGGTGATGTGTCTTCCCCATCAGAAGTCCTCCCTTCCATCACGGCATTGATTAAAGACAAAAAAAATATGATATTCCTTTATCTTTTCAAGCCCGAGATGTAATAATACCTTCTCATATGCTGCCAATTTGCTGGTATCAGCAATTGGGATTGTAACCCTGAGAATAGTCTTGTCATTATGATGTACAGACAGCTTTGATATATATATATATATATATATATATATATATATATATATATATATGTATGTATGTTCAGGTAATGAGAGCCTCGTGGACTTTTAATTACAATCCACGTACAATAACCTTTTAAGATCTTCTTTTTTCACTCGCACAAAAAAGGAAATCTACTTTACTCTTGAGAACAGAATCACTCGGATGAAATCGTAAAGGGCCCCAGATAGACAGGTAATCCTCGACTTACGACCACAATTGAGCCCCAAATTTCCGTGGCTAAGTCAGACATTGATTAAGTGAGTTTTGGCTCATTTTCTTGCCGCAGTTGGCTAAGTGAATCACTGCTGCTGTTAAATTAGTCGCACGGTTGTTAAGTCAATCTGGTTTCCCCCGTTGGCTTTGCAGGTCCGATTTACAACCATTTTTGCTGCCGTCGTTAAGTGAATGTGGCTTTCCCCCCCCCCCCCCCCCCCCCAAAATCGCTTTTTCTTTGTCAGGGCTGGCTAGAAAGATCATAAACGGCATTTTTGTGACGCTGAGATTTATTTATTTATTTATTTATTTTATCATATTTGTATACCGCCCTACTCCCGGAGGACTCAGGGCGGTGAACAGCCAAGATAAAAATACAAAAAACATACAAAAGTTAAAAGCTATTAAAAATAAATTAAATAATTTGGGCTCAAGAAACAAATTTAAAAACATCCAATTTATGTAAAACATTTAAAACCCAATTTAAAAGGGAGATATTGCAACCATCCTAAATATGGGTCACCCATCACCCCAATTTCGATCACATGACCATGAGGGTGCTGCAATGGTCATAAGTGTGAGGACCGATCATAAGTCGCTTTGGGGGGCAGGCACTTTCACAACTTTGCTTATTAAACAAGCGGTCGTAACTCGATGACTCCCTGTATATGTTATTGATGAATGCTCCATTCATCTCTTGTGAAATTATTCAGACTTGCTAAGCTATCAATATGGTTACCACTTTTGGCTCAAAAGCTGGGTAATACCTGTTCTGACCTAGGCTTCCTTAGAAAGTATAAAGCACAATCTTAGTCCCGCAAAACCTCTTTTATTTATAGTATACAACTGTAAATTACCTTCATTTACAGTCCGCAAGGCTTGATAAACAGTCTTTCAGAGGAAGGTTATCAACACCCACCTATCTCACGTGGAACGCTGCCAGAGAGCTAATTTCCAGACTCAGGGCAAGGCCAAACTTGGCAGAGAGTCACAAACAGAAGTTTCAAATCTTGAATTGGCCAGATGAACTAATTGCTTCCTGCAAAAGCTCACATCCCATTCGCTCCCCTTTTATGTCTTATGGGAGGGGCCAGTCATCTCCAAGCCTTACTCCCAAGTCGACCCTGTTTTCTTAATTGTTCTTGTCGTCTGGCAGTTCCACGCATGCACACACTGGGAACAGGCTCATGCTGTTCTTCTGCCTCGCTGCTGTCAGACTCTGGAGGCTGCACATAACTATCAGATGGCCTTGGCCCCCTCTCTGCCTCCAATGCAGAGCCCTCGTCCAAGCTTTCCCCAGGACTGGCCCAAGTTCCTCCCCAATCTCCTCACTGTCCAACCCTGCTGCCAGCTCTGCTGGCTGCCGGTAGACCACAATACCTCCTATTTTTAAGCAGTTTTCTTCATCAGTTTGAAACATCCTTAAGAGCCCAGCATGGGGTTGATACGCTGCCCAATTGAAAGTATGTCTCGGTTGGTTTTTTCACATTTATTCTGCTGCAGCTTCCAGTTTTGGGAGTGTGCTACACAGTGGATTTTTCCCCCCTCTTTTAAAAGCAGGTCGCCTCTTTGTCGGAGGACGTTTCTACCGACGCGCCCAGCACGGCACCTGGAGAGACCCAGTTTCCTGCTGAGCAGACTCCTGAAGATGCCGATTCAGCTGCTGAAGGAAATAATGCAAAGGACGCAGCTGCCATCAAAATTAGCAATGATGGCAAACTGATAAAAGGTAAGCCTCCAGCCCAGATCAAACCCTGTCTTTTGAGAGGACAAAGTCACATTGATGGCACCTGAGAAACCTTCGGTCTGGCTCCCAGCCCTCCACTCTCCCCCCCCCTCTAAAAGGTGCTGTTGAATTATGATTTTTTAAAGATGAGAGACAGGCTGTGAAGTAAAAGGCAAGTTATTCCATGCATTGTTAATTTAAATGCATTCTGATGGCTAAAATAAGCCCTGGAAAGTATACAGAATAACAGAGTTGGAAGGGACCTTGGAGATCTTCTAGTCCAGCGGTCACCAACTGTGGACCACTGGTGTTCCACGAGAAAATTTTGGTGGTCCACAGAAAAATTATTTGCATTTTTTATATTGCACTAAAATCAGGGGTCCTCAAACTATGGCCCCTGGGCCGGATACGTGCAATGAACGTTTGTGTTGCTGCAGAGAGTCTCCCCCTTCGGGGTCTTTTTGTGTGGGTCGGAGGGGGGCAGAAATTCCGACTTGGGGTCTGCTTCAGCCTCCTGGTGTGGGGCTTTGGGCGAAGGCTGGAGGGAAGTGCCGCTGCTGGCGAAGAGCCGGAGGACCTTGTTCCAGTGGGACTGCATCATGGCCTGGAACTGGCTGACCATCTCAGCCCGCTGAGCCTCCAGGCGCCGGTACCTGGCCTTGCACTCCTACAGGTCTTCCCTCTACTTGGAAAACCTATGCTCCTAGTCCTCAGTGAGGTGCTTCTGCTGAGCCTCCTTCTTGGTTAGATCCAGTTTGAACTGAGCTGTTTTGCCAACTCTTTCTCATGGTGGCTGCTTAGCTCCAACAACTGCTTCCTGTTGGGGCCCTAAGGAGCCTGGGCGGGGAGGCGAGGAGTGGTGAGTAGAAGCTGGGGAGGCGCCCCTCGACATGAGTGACATTGAGTTGGCCATGCCCACCCAGTCACATGACCACTTTGTCACGCCCACCCAGCCATTCATTGGGCAGATCATATTTGTAGTCGGCGGGATTTAAAATTATGACTGTAGTGATCCCTGGAGTCTGAAAGGTTAGTGACCCCTGTCCTAGTCCAACCTCCTGCTCAAGCAGGAAACCCTTTATCATTCTGCACAAATGGTTGTCCAATTTCTTAAAAACCTCAGGAAGGCTTGTCTGTCTGTCACCTGAGAGGATTGTTAACCATGTCAAGTGCTATATATCTGCTACTTCTCTCCATCCATCTGTCCATCTCTATCTATCTATCCATCATTTCCATCCCTCCATCCACCTCTCTCTCTATGATCTACCTACTCTCGGCTTGCTCACCGAACCAGGTCACTTTGGAAGAACCACGCCTCAATTACAAGATTCAGAAGCTGAATGATGGTTTATTCCTGCTCCAGGTCGGGTGTAGTCAATACCGAGTGCAATAATGAATACATAAAGTCGGCCGCCTCCCAGCGCTCTTTAAATAACCCGCAGTGTCTTATCAGCCAATCGGCTTTATTTCCGGGATTCGTAGCTGGCCGCTGCAGGTCTGGTGACATCATCACCTGCATCGCCTGGAATCCTGGCGCGGATCTGCCTCGTCCGGCCGCAGAGTGCCTGACCGCCTAGTTTAAAGATCACCGATCACCCCCACCACTGCCGTGTGCACCCACCCATCTTCACGACCCATTGGAGTTCGTCGGAGAACGTTCGGGGTCTCCCGTGGGCTGTATCTGAGGTCTCCGATCCCCCGATGCTTTTCCCTGATCCCAGATGTGTCGAGCCGATGTGAGTCTCGACACCTACTTACCTACCTACAATCTCATCTACCTATCTCATCTATGTACCTATCGACTTGTCTTATCTGTCTCATAGAATCATAGGGCTGAATCGAATCTCACAGAATCGAACTTCCAGTGTTAAGGCAAGCCGTTCTACTCAATAATTGTTCTCACTGTCAGGAAATTTCTCCTTAGTTCTAGTTGGAGCTCTCTTTGATTACTTTCCATCCATTACTTCTTGTCCTGCCCTCAGGTGTTTTGGAGAAGAGGTTGACGGTGTTGAAATGAATTTCAAGGAAGGGGGTCCCTGTTGTATTTTTTTCACAGACTGGCAGCCTGATCAGGTTCAAATGGTGTCTATACCCCCCAAACAGTGGGTGGTAATTATCCAGGAGTAAAAAGCCAAGTTAACTCCCTGCAAAGTAGAAAAGCACCTCTCATGAGTAATTGCAAATTATACAAAGGGCCTTTCCAACTTAGTGGGTATAAGCCTCAGGGCAGATACATCCACATGCTTTACTCCATCCCCTTTAATAGAAAGTCAATTTACTAAAGATTTTTTTTTCCCCTTTAAAAGCAACTGTGCGGTGGTGGGTTGAGTCTGTAGGGGGGGAAGTTAAAAAAAAATGAGAGAGCTGTAATATCGGTCTTTTGTCTCCAGAAAAAAAAGCCTGCTCGGAAACACACTTTCTATTTTTTATATATATATATATTATTCCTCCCTCCACTCTCGTTCTAAAAAAAAATTAGCAGGATGTACGGTCACAATATTTTCTTGTGTATTTTTATCCCGAGGTGACAGCTAATTAGAGGGAACCACAACACACCAACAGATATTAGAGGACTGTGCCAAGCTTCGTCACAATATGTCTCTGGAGATTCTCAATCATCCAGGTTGTGGTTGTCCCAAAGGTGCTTTTTTTTCAAGAGCCAACTGGACACTCTGATTTTTCTTTGAAGGCGTTTCGCTTCTCATCTCAAGAAGCTTCTTCCACTCTGACTGAATGGTGGGGAATGGAAGGATTTATATTCCTTGCAGACAGCTGGTCCTTTGCATCCTTTTAGAGAGTCATTGAGGCCACTTGGAGGTTTATCTGTGTCCTCAGGGTCACCTGAATGGTGCAAATGGGTGTGGAGCCTACTTGGCACTGTTGTTGATATACATGAGGTTTTCTTTTTTTTTCTCCCCGATGGGATTCATGTCTAATTTCCTTGGCATTTCATCTTTCTTAAGTCCTGCAACCAGTGCGAAATAGTCCTCGACCTGTCATCAAAACTGAGTCCAAAATAAGTGAGACAGTTGTTAAGTGAAGGACCTTTGGGACTTCAGCACAATAGCAAAGGAGAGACAGTTTAAGCCCTGTGATTGCAGTCCGGTTCTGTTTTGCAACCAAGGGGACCCCATGCTCTGGTACAAAATGGTCCTCTTCCAGATATCTGGCTGCAAATTTTGCATCTTTTAATCCTTAAGATTTAAGCGTTTTCCATTTCCATCCAGCAGTTCTGCTTTTCTCCTCCATTATGTCCGTCCCCCCCCCATCCCCGTCCCCCAAGGCTACTAGCAAGCACAGGTCCCTCTAAGCTTGCTGCGGCCTCCCTTGTGCGTGTCGAGGAAGCTGTTTTGATTACCCAAAGGTCTTGGATGGATAACTGAGCTTACCCTTAATCCATAGAAAAGAACTAGTTGCCTGAAAAATCCCAAAACTCCTGGGGAAAAACTTACTGCTTTAGTCCAAATAATGATGAGGTCAAGCGTGATACACTCAGAAGGGGATTCCATAGCATAAAGGACTGCTGTGTTTTTGGGGTGGGGCAGAGTAGGTCTTTGGGGGAGCACATGGCTGCAAATAGTTAAGAGGCCGAGGCAAACGTAGCTGGAGGTAACCATTTGCTTTCTGATATTTGCTTTCTGGGTTCATTTTTCTTCTGTGTCCTACCCTGGTCTGAACAGATTTCTTTTTTTTTTTGTTTGTTTGTTTGCTTGTTTTTCTTTTTTTTTAAGGAGAATTAAAATTCAGCCAAGGGCAGCACAAACGAAGCTGGGGGCTGCATCCTCCTCTATTCCATTAGACTGTTCTTCCTATCTCTCCTTCCATCCCAACAAAACAAAAAACAAAAAACCCACCCCTGGCAACTGGCAGTAAAAATATTTATTCATTTGTGTCCTGCCTTTATTTTATTTTTTTACAAATCCCAAGGTGGCAAAGAGATCTGGCAAACTTTCCTCCTTCATAACAGCAATACTATGAGATGACTTGAGCTGAGAGAGAAGGAGTGGCCCAAAGTCACCCAGCCAGCTTTTATGGCTAAGGCAGGACTAGAACTCCCCATCTCCTGCTAATTGACCTAAAATTACCCAGCCATCAATCATGGCTAAAATGGGATTAGGATTCACAGTCACCTGGCGATTGACCTGAAGTCACCTAGTTAACTTTCATGCCTAAGGTGGGACTAGAACTCACCATCTCCTGTTAATTGACCCAAAATTACCCAGCCGGTTGTCACGGCTAAAATGGAACTAGGATTCACAGTCACCTGGTGATTGACATAAAATCACCCAGCTAGTTTTCATGCCTAAAGTGGGACTAGAACTCACCATCTCCTGGTGATTGACCCAAAATTACCCAGCCAACTGTCATGGGTAAGATGGGACTAGAATTCACAGTCACCTGGCGATTGACCTGAAGTCACCCAGCTAACTTCCATGCCTAAGGTTGGGACTAGAACTCGCTGTCTCCTGGTTCCTGACACCTCAACCACTAGACCAAACAGGTTTCAACTAGCAATGACTGCTTTACAGATCATCCTTTCTCTCCCACAGTGTCATTTGCACCCATCAGCTTTGCAATCCGGGCCAAAGAAAACGACATGCTCCCTTTGGAAAAGAACCGGGTGAAGCTGGACGACGATACTGACGAGGAGGAGGAGGAAGGCAAAGAGGGCCAGGAGAGTGCCAGCAGCACCTCCAACAGCGCTGCCCTCCTTGCCCCCTCCAGCAGTGCTCCGGAAGAAAAAAAGCCCCAGCTGACCCAGGAAGAGCTGGAAGCCAAGCAAGGTAAGAATTGTATGGTCTGGATCGACTGGGATTTATACATCATCCCGTTTGAAACATACCGTATTTTTTGGACTATAAGACGCAACAAGAATTCAAAGGAGCAAACCAGGGGGGGGGGGAGTTTTTGCCCTTCCCTCTGTGCATCCTGTTTTTGCGAAAAATGGGCACTTTTTTCACAAAAATGGGATGTCCAGAAAGTTTGGGAGGCCTGCAGAGTGGTCCTGGGGCCGGGGAGGGCAAAAACGCGACACATGGGGGGTTTGGGACGCCAAAAACAGGGCACGCAGGGGGTTTGGTAGGCTTGCAGAGTGCTCCTGGGGACTGGGGAGGGCAAGAACGTGACACATGGGGGGTTTTTTTTGCAAAAACGGGCCTGTTTTTCGTAAAAATGGGTAACGCAAAGGGTTTGGGAGGCCTGCAGAATGCTCCTGGGGGCTGGGGAGGGCAAAAATGCAACGCGTAAGGGGGTTGGTAGGCCGGTATCGGAAAGCTGTAAAAATGTAACGAGGATGTTAAAGATATAAAAAAAATAACCCCCCAAAAAGGGGGGGGGGATTTGGCAGGCCAAAAACGTGCCTGTTTTTGGCGAAAATGGGACGCATGGGGTGGGATTTCGAGAGGCCAAAAATGGCTGTATTTGGTGTATAAGACACACCAACATTTCCACCTAATTTTAGGGAAGGGAGGAAGTGCATCTTATACTCCGAAAAGTACGGTAATTCTGCATAGACAGGGCCGAAGCATTGCTAAAAGGGAGCGATGGAAAGAGAGCAGAAGAAGGCAGAAGAAATACGAGTATTTGTTGATAGACAAATGTTGATGGAGATTCTCAGTCCTCGAGGTCATGGTTGTCCCAAAAGTGCTTTTTTTTCCCAAGAGGCAACTGGACTTACTTGGTTTTTATTTTGAAAACGTTTCGCTTCTCATCCAAAAAGCTTCTTCAGCTCTGACTGGATGGTGGGGAATGAAAGGATTTATATCCCTTGCAGACAGCTGGTCATTTGCATCCTTTTAGAAGGTCCTTGAAGCACTTGGAGGTTTATCTGTGTCCTCCAGGTCACCAGAGTAGTACAAATGAGTGTGGAGCCTTCTTGGTACTGTCTTTGATATACATGTGGTTTTCTTTTTTCTAACTAATAAAACAGAGACCCAACCTAGAACTAAGGAGAAATTTCCTGATAGATAGAACAATTAACCAGTGGAACGACTTGCCTCCAGAAGTTGTAGATGCTCCATCACTGGAGGTTTTTAAGAAGAGATTGGACAACCATTTGTATGAACTGGTACAGGGCAGTGATGGCGAACTTTTTCAGCACCGAGTGCCCAACCAGAATGCATGTGCGTGTGTCCTTGTGTGGACCCGACCAATCGGGTTACTTGGAACCCTGACAGTGGGCATGTGCGCGCGCCGGAGCGCAGGAAACCGGAAGACCAGCTGCTCAATGCGCACATGCCTATTGCTTAGCACATTGTAAGCCGCCCTGAGTCTCCGGAGAAGGGCGGCATATAAATCAAATTTAAAAAAAAAAAAAAGCCTGTTTTTTGGCCGTTTTTCAGGCCCGAAAAAATGCCTGAAAACGGGCCGAAAAAGCCCAGAAACGGCCTGAAAAATGGCCTGGGTTTTTTTGCTGTTTTGGGCCGTTTTTCGGGCTGTTTTCAGACCTGCACTCTGGAAACCAGAAGAGCAGCTGGCGAAGGCATGCGTGCCCACAGAGAGGGCTCTGTGTGTGTTATGGGCCGCCAGCAGCCTGCGCAGATCGTGGCTAATGAGGCTGGTGTGGTGTCACGCCAGCAGCTTGCGCAGCCGGTGCTCGCGTCGGATAGCGAGGAGGCTGAAGAGGATGTGGTGCCAGAGGCAGAGACTCAGCCAGGGCCTTCAGAACCTCCAGAGGCTCCTTCAAGTGAAGAGAGCGAAGCGGAGGAGCCTCTCCTCAATGCTCGGGCACGCAGGGCTGCCTAAAGGCAGGAGTGGCTACTCAGGAGGAGGAGATCTCCCCGAGAGTAAGGCTTGAGGATAATTGGCCACTCCCTTAGCCTATTTAAGTTACACCGCAGTTAGTAAGTTTCTTGCTGGAAACAACTTGTAATTATCATCAGAGCATTTTTGGAAAAGTCTTATCGTATCTTGTTTTCTGGGCTGGTTGCCCACCTTTGCCGGACTTTGGTTTATTCTTGCTACTTAATAAATTTGATAAGGACCGTTGGTGTGTGTCAATATCCTCGGGAATCCGGAGCCGGGACAGAACAGCGTGCCACCTTGGCACGCATGCCATAGGTTCGCCTCTCGGGTATAGGGTTTCCTCCCTGAGCAGGGGGTTGGACTGGAAGACCTCCAAGGTCCCTTCCAGGTCTGTTATTCTGCTTTAAGTTTCTAACTGCAAAAGCTACTAGCCAATGAAGCAGGCTATTACATGAAGCAGTGAGTTCTGTTTCAGTAAAGGTTTTGAAAGCGAACATCCTACGTAGCACAACACATACCCAGAATCATTAAAATACTAGCTCTTTAATGAAGCATTAAATCTACCGGGCACCTCCTCTGAGGAGGAAGCCATACCTACATACTAACCGAGATCAATGCAATCAAGAGTGAAATGCCAATGCGTAGCACACCAGAACGGTCTTCTCCATTGACCGAATCAAGGCTGAAGGCAAATCCTTCATTCCATGCTTCCCCGATCACAGATTCGTAGAGTTGAAAGAGACCTTAGAAGAAAACATTACCAAGCAAGTATTATTATTTTTTTGAAAGCAAACAGGAATCTCACATCACTTAGTCAAAAGAGACCGGCCATACAACGTCAGGCATAAATAACCAGGAGCATTCGTTTGGTTCAAAGCACAGAAAAGTTCATTATTGCCACCTATACACCTATATCAAGGGGGATGCGGTGGCTCAGTGGCTAAGACGCCGAGCTTGTCGATTGAAAGGTCGGCAGTTCAGCGGTTCGAATCCTGAGTGCCGCGTAACGGGGTGAGCTCCCGTGACTTGTCCCAGCTTCTGCCAACCTAGCAGTTTGAAAGCAGGTAAAAAATGCAAGTAGAAAAATAGGGACCGCCTTTGGTGGGAAGGTAACAGCGTTCCGTGCGCCTTTGGCGTTGAGTCATGCCGGCCACACGACCACGGAGACGTCTTCGGACAGCGCTGGCTCTTTGGCTTTGAAAAGGAGATGAGCACCACCCCCTAGAGTCAGGAACAACTAGCACGTATGTACGAGGGGAAGCTTTGCCTTTTTAAGGGTCAACAGAATTCACAGGGGGGCTGGACCTAGGTCTCTTGTGGCTTCACAATGACTCCAAACTGATGACACACTTAACTCCACCTTCCAGCTTCTCCTATTCATCTCCTGCACGCAAAACGGTTATGAAGTGCGTTTGAACTCTGTTAGATCTCCAAGAGGGTGGAGTTGCATAGTTCTGTGATCCAGCCAGTGGTGTCACATAACTGACTTTGTATAAAAAAGAACACCGCTTTGGGGGGCGGGGCGAAAGCCCTACTAAGCAGGTATATACAAAAGTATGAAGGCTATTGCTTAACGCATTGTAAATCGCCCTGAGTCTCCGGAGAAGGGCGGCATATAAATCGAACCAATGAATAAATAAATAAAGCAGTCACCTAGACTAAACTGGAGTTGGGTAATTAATTGATCAAGCTTGCTATCATCTCGGCTTGCATTAATGTGCCCACCGCACATTAAATTGCCAGAGAGCACATTGTTGGGACATGTGATCTGTAGACCGCAATTACGGTTCCTTCCTCCTGGTCTCTTGCCCAAAGCAGTTTCTCAGCTGCATGGACATCTGAACCCAGTGGTGAAATGTAAAATTTGTTACTACCGGTTGTGTGGGCACGGCTTGGTGGGGGGAGGGTAATGTGACTGGGTGGGCGTGGCCAACTTTTTTTTTTTTTTTTTTACTTTTAAAAGCATTTTTTCTACAACCTCTTCGGCCGAAGAGATTACAGGAAAAAAATGCTTTTAAAAGCCTCTGATAATCCCAGCTGAGCCGCGTGATCATCAGAGGCTTGGGTTTTTTTACTTTTAAAAGCATTTTTTCGGCAGAAGAGGTTGTAGAAAAAATGCTTTTAAAAGTAAAAAAAAAAGCCTCTGATGATCGTGCGGCTCAGTTGGGCATGGGAGGGGGGCCGCAGGGATTTTTGCTACCGGTTCTCCGAACCACCTGCCACCATTGCTACCGGATCGGGCGATCCATTCCGAACCGGGAGCATTTCATCCCTGACCTGACCCCAAAACTCCCAGCAGCAGCTATGCCAGCAAGGAATTCTAGGAATAATAATAATAATAATAATAATAATAATAATAATAATAATAATAATAATAATAATAATATATTATTATTATTATTATTATTATTATATATTATTATTATTATTATTATTATTATTATTATTATTATTATTATTATTATTCGTCATATTTTTATGCCGCCCACTCTCCGAGGTCTCTGGGCGGCTTACACCAAAGACAGTATACTAAATAGCATGTTGCCCCCCAACAATCTGGGTCCTCATTTTACCCACCTCGGAAGGATGGAAGGCTGAGTCAACCTTGAGCCGGTGAGATTTGATCCGCTGATCTGCTGAACTAGCAGTCAGCTGAAGTAGCTGCAGTAATGCACCCTAACCACTGCGCCACCTCGGCTCTTTGAAGCTCACACACCTGGAAGTTGTGTGAATCCAGCCATGAAATATCATATGTGATTTTCTTTTTTGGAACTAATCAGAGACCCAACCTAGAACCAAGGAGAAATTTCCTGATCGATAGAACAATTAACCAGTGGAAAGATTTGTCTCCAGAAGTTGTAGATGCTCCATCACTGGAAGTTTTTGAGAAGAGATTGGACAACCATTTGTATGAAATGGTACAGGGCCGTGATGACGAACCTATGGCACGCGTGCCCAAAGTGGCACATGAAAGCCATGTCGCCTGACACGCTCAGCCTTGCCTGTTTGTCTTCCGGGTTCCTGGCATGCATGCACACACGTCGATTAGCTGTCTTTCATGCACGCGGCAGTGCCAAAAACCAAATGCTCGCCCGGCCAGCTGATTGTCAGATTGTCACTAATAAAATAACTCTTCCTTCCTTTTGGTTCTTGTCTGCTTGTGCAAAGACGAAAGAGAAGGAAGTACAAGTAGTCCTTACAACAGTTCGAAGTTACGACGTCACTGGAAAAAGTGGCACTTTTCCACACTTATGAGCACTTTTCGCACTTAGCCCCATGGTCATGTGACCAAAATTTGGATGTTTGGCAACTGCTTCATATTTATGATGGTTGCAATATCCCCGGATCACAGGAACCCCTTTTACGACCTTCTAACAAGCAAATTCAACAGAGAATCCAGGTTGACTTCACAACCGTGTTACTCACTCAACAGCTGCAGTGATTCGCTTAACAACCGTGGCAAGAAAGGTTGCAAAATGGGGCAAAGTTCACTTAACAACTGTCTCATTGGCAAACAGAAATGTTGGCGCTCAATTAGGGATCGACGGTTACCTGTGTGAAATGTTCCCTGTAAATCAGCAATGCTGGCTTATTTTACACAAAAGGTAGCCATCGCACACAAAACATATTTGCGAGTAAAGTAACCGAGCCATTCGTGGTCCTTGACATTTGCTATATCAGACACAAAATAAATGAGGCAGAGGAAGAAAGGAAACGTTATTCTCCTTTCCATTTTTCCTTTCCTGAAAGAATGGCGCCCGAGTGATAATTAAATCTGCATTTATGTGTGTCTAATTCAATAAAACGCAGCAGCGTAATTTGATAAGAGAAGTCTCACGAAGCAGCCACAGTGATAGGGTTGACTTTGAGCTGCTGTGAAAAGACTCCTCCACAAAGTGCAAACATGATTATTAATTTTTAAAAAATCATGAATCCATTTGCAAATAAAAATTTTTATACACACACACACACACACACACACACACACACACACACATATATATGCTTTCTTCTCTTATCGTAGGATTTTGTATGTATTTTTCTTCAACCGGGTATTTCCTACATAAAACTTGGTTTACGTAGGAAAATACCCGATTGAAGAAAAATACATACAAAAACCTACGATAAGAGAAGAAAGCAAATACTTAGCCTCTACGGGGAGGGAACATATGGTAAGGGTGTGGCTAACTGATGAGGACCAATCAGTCCAAAATTGATCTATATTAGGCAGCAAAATGCTTGCTTGCTGTCTGAAGAAGCCTAGGATAGTGGATGTGATTTCACTGAGCTATGGCTGCAATTTGAGAAACTTGGTTTACGTAGGAAAATACCCAGTTGAAGAAAAATACATACATACATATATACATACATATATACATACATGCATATATATATATATACACACACACACACACATATACATACACATACACATACACACATACCATGTTTCCCCGAAAATAAGACCCTGTGTAATATTTCTTTGAACCCCGAAATAAGTTCTTGGCATTATTTTCGGGGAGGTCTTATTATTTTGGGGTGAAATGGAGCAAGATGGGGCTCATCTTGCCATCCTACCTGATTTCCAACTCTGCATTTAAATATTTTTGGGGAGAGCTTATTTTCGGGGGGAGGCTTATTTTAGCGCATGCACTCAAAAGCCTGATTGGGCTTATTATCAGGGGATGTCTTATTAATTCTCCTTCTTTCATATTTGGGAAAATAGGCAATGTTTTAAAATACTGTTTACAAATCTTGATAAAGTGCTTTTTTAATATCCGTCCACAGATGTACATCAGCACTAAAGACAGCAAAGCCACTTTGTTTGTACAATATCAATGAAATGCGAAACTTGCTGGGGAACCAGAAACAACAGAGATCACTTTTTTAAAAAAAAATATGGTTCTGTTTAAACCCAGATCATTAATAGCAATAGCAATTAGATTTATATACCGCTTCATAGTGCTTTACAGCCCTCTCTAAGCAGTTTCCAGAGTCAGCCTATTGCCTTCAAGAATCTGAGTCCTCATTTTAACTGTCCTCGGGAGGATGAAAAGCTGAATCACTCTTGAGCCGGTAAGGCTCAAACTGCTGACAGTTGGCAGAGTTAGCCTGCATTTCTAACCACTGAGCCACCACAGCTTTAAGATAGGGAGCCAGTTTCGTGCAGTGGTTAAGATGCTGGCCTCGAAACCAGGAGACTGTGAGTTTTAGTCCCACCAGCTAGGTGACTTTGGGCCAATCACCAGGAGATGGTGAGTTCTAGTCCCACCTTAATAGAGCCAAAATATTGTATGCAAGCAAACATATGGAAATGGTTAAAAAAAAAAAAAGTGCATTGACAAACTCTACAAGAAGCCTTTAATTTGTTTAAGCCACCGCTCTTTTACACGTGTGAGTGTGTTGGGGAGGGTGTATTGTTTTATCAGGGCAGGGCAGCGATTATAAATGGCAGGAAGCCCTTTAATTAATTGCGACTTATAGCTCCAACCAAGTAACGATTCAGAAGCAGGTCGTGTCAAGGGCCCCGAACGGTTGGTCTGTGCTTGAAAGCCTGGAAACGGAAGGTGAAGAGATGCAGGTTTTTCTCCCAAGAGCTGGTTTGGTTCTTGGCAGTTTTCCTCCTGCGTGTTCTCCTCCATTATGTTCAAAAAAACCAGCAGCGCCAACTGTGTTGCAAATGGACTTACCGGGACCATGCATTCACTCCTCCACAAGGCACTCTTGAGTGATTTAAGCCTCATTCACCGTCCATCCACACTTAAAAACTCGGAGAGCACCATTGCCTGATAAAACCAGTGGTCTTTTTTTTTTTTTTTTTAATCAGCAAGCCAGGCTAAGAGAAGCATTCGTAACATGACATGGCTTAAACGCACATCTTGCACTTGTCACACGCACAAACACACACAGGCTATTTTAATTAGCACAGCCAGCGACGAGGAAAGCTGTTGAGCGTACAGCTAACGGTATTTGCATGCTAACCTCCCTTCTGTCTCCATCGCTCGGTTCTAGCACAGTGTCGGAAAATGTCCGCGTAAGCAGAAAACATTTCCATGGCAATTGTAACCAACGTGGAAGAGGCAGGGAGCTGCACCAACTAAGAAATAATTAGAATAAGAAATAATTAGCAAGGCAAGGCACACGTGACGGCAATCAGCGAGAATGTTTAACTTAGTTTAGAAACTAGTTCGGGGAAGCATTGTTTCCTGCCTTTCCAATTTATGCCCCAATTAATCTTCCCCTCGATTGTATGATGCTTAAATTTCCTTTAACCTTGAGTCTCTGCTTGGCGTTGGAGGTAGTTGCCTTTTGCTTTGTCCATTTGGCATTAGGGCAGAGTCGAGTTCTTTGAATTTTTGCGATGCAAAAGATAAATTAAGTGCAGCTTTTAGCTTCATAGGAGATGGTGAGAACAGTTCTGCATGAGAGCCAGAAAAAGATAGACAGTAGATTGTTGTTGTTAGTCGCAAAGTCATGTCCGACCCATCGCAACCCCACGGACAATGTTCCTCTAGGCCTTCCTGTCCTCTACCATCCTCTGGAGTCCATTTAAGCTCATGCCAACTGCTTCAGTGACTCCACCCAGCCACCTCGTTCTCTGCCGTCCCCTTTTTCTTTTGCCCTCCATCGTTCCCAGCAGGAGGCTCTTCTCCAGGGAGTCCTTCCTTCTTATCAGGTGGCCAAAGCATTTGAGTTTCCTCTTCAGGATCTGGCCTTCTAAAGAGCAGTCAGGGTTGATCTCCTCTAGGACTGACCGGTTGGATCGCCTTGCAGTTGTGCTGCGCGATCGTCAGAACCTTCTTTTTACCTTTTAAAGGCATTTTTTTATTACCAGTTTGGGCCAATAGGTAGTAAAAAAAATGCTTTTAAAAAGTAAAAAAAAAAAGAGGCTCCGACGAACGTGGGGCACAGGTGTGATTGTTGGAGCCTTTTTTTTTTTTAACTTTTTTAAAGCATTTTTAACTACCGGTTCCGGAGAACCGGTAGTTAAAAAATGCTAAAAAAAGTTTCTTAAAAAGTTATCACGATCGTGCATCGCTCAGCTGATCGTCTGAACTTTTTTTTTTTACATTTTTTTTTCTACCTGCCCAAACCGGTAGCATTTCACTCCTGGTCTGTAGGGTTCTTGGTGCTCTCTTGAGCTTGGTGGTTTCCTTGCAGACGTTTCATCACCCAACTAAATAACATCATCAGTGCTAGGAGGGAGAGTGGGATTTGTTCTCTGTTTAGTCTCTGTCCCACTCCCTGATAATCTTTTCTCAGAATTTATGGCAGCCTCATCTTTGCTATTTCCCCTTAGTCCTTTGTTCTTTATCATGTCTTTTGTTAGCTAATGAAAAGCCGTCTTTGAAAATCCCCGCTGTTTGATGTTTTTAGAGCAGTCACAGCACTTCGTATTCTTTTTTTCTTTTAAAGAACTTTTGTTTTGCCTCTTACATATTTTTAAGGTGTTTTTCCAAGCAATCTTTAAAAGGCCATGTAATTTTTTTTGGGGGGGGTGTATGTGTTTTGTTTTGTTTTTTTAAAGTTGCCTGATTTTCAGACAATAATGCAGCTTGGCATAAGAAACAGGTCTTAAGTTAAACGACAGTCTCTTCTCTTTTCCTCCACCACCACCAGCAAAACAGAAATTAGAAGACCGATTGGCAGCTGCAGCAAGAGAAAAACTAGCCCAGGCTTCCAAAGAATCGAAAGAGAAACAGCTTCAAGCGGAACGAAAGAGAAAAGCCGCCCTCTTTTTGCAGAACCTGAAGAATCCACTGGCAGACATGGAAGTTGACAAAATGGAGGAAAGTGCCTTTAACATGGAGGTGAGCAAAGGAGACACTCTTTACACTGCAGGGGGAATTTGTGATGGCAGGTGGGGGAAATCTTGAGAGAGGGGGCAAAGAGATGCTGCCAAGGGAAGCGTTGAGAAAAGAGACTGCATAGCCCAGAGCTGCATAACAGATGGAGAAAGATGCTCAGAAGGGACCCTCCCTAGTTTCTCAAACTGTAAAGGAGGTGACTATAATGGTGTGTGGGAAAGACCTCGGGAGAGAGAGAGAAAGAAAGAGAGAGAGAGAGAAAGAAAGAAAGAGAAAGAAAGAGAGAGAGAGAGAGAGAAAGAAAGAGAAAGAAAGAAAGAAAGAAAGAAAGAAAGAAAGAAAGAAAGAAAGAAAGAAAGAAAGAAAGAATGAATTTTTTTTTTATTGGCATATGCTCTCTGTACATAAAAAGACAAGATACATTCGTCAAGAATCATAAGGTACAACACTTAATGATAGTCATAGGGTACAAATAAGCAATCAAATCATACTAGGAAACAATATAAATCATAAGGATACAGCAACGAGTTACAGTCATAAGTGGGAGGAGATGGGTGATGGGAACGATGAGAAGATTAATAGTAATAGTAATACAGACTTAGTGAATAGTTTGACAGTGTTGAGGGAATTATTTGTTTAGCAGAGTGATAGCGTTCGGGGAAAAACTGTTCTTGTGTCCAGTTGTTCTGATGTGCAGTGCTCTATAGCGTCATTTTGAGGGTAGGAGTTGAAACAATTGATGTCCAGGATGTGAGGGGTCTGTAGATACTTTCACAGCCCTCTTTTTGACTCGTGCAGTATACAGGTCCTCAGTGGAAGTTACGTGTGGCAGAGTTGACTACACTTGGGAAACTGCCGACATGTTGCTCCTAATAAATAACTGGATTTCTTTTGAAACTTGGCTTGAGGCTCGTGAGTTAATTAGAGGCTCATGAGTTAACTAGGACATTCGTGGGAGCTCTGACAAAGAGACAGCATACCCCACAGCTTCATAATGGATGGATAAGGAGGCTCAGAAGAAATCCTCCCTAGTTTCTCATCCTGTAAAGGACATAGCTGTAATGGTATGTGCGGAGATGAAGCAAAATCACATGATTATTTAGGGACCAGTCAGATAAGAGAAGGCATGGCCCCCAGCTGCATAATAGGTGAAGAAAGAAACTCAGAAGGGACCCTCCCTAGTTTCTCAGGTTGTAAAGGAGATAATGGAAGATTTGTACTTTCAGACTTGCAAGATTCTATTGATGTAGCTTTACGATAAAGTAGAATTACTTCCTCTGTTCGTGTTTCCCATCTGGGTCCACCTTAGTAAGGCTGACAAAATTTGCCAAGAGGCTGTTTTTAAGGGCAGGCAATGGGAGAGCTACCAGTACTGCTGAAAACATTAACGTTGACTGAAATTGAGTAAGGAGTAACTCTTTAAAGAAAGGAAGGAAAAAAATCGTCTAAAATGAACGACACGTTGGTCTTTGGGGATGTAAGGAATTGTGATAAATGGACTCGTCTTAATCTTCCTGATATCGCCAAAGTGAGGCCATGTTTAAAGGGCAGGTTTTTTTCTATTTGCTAAACTATGGAGACAAAATAAACAAGGGACGTGGTGGCTCAATGGCTAAGACTCTGAGCTTGTCAATCGAAAAGGTCAGCAGTTCAGCGGTTCGAATCCCTAGTGCCGCGTAACGGGGTGAGCTCCCGTGACTTGGCCCAGCTTCTGCCATCCGAGCAGTTCGAAAGCAGGTAAAAAAAATGCAAGATGAAAAAACAGGGACCACCTTTGGTGGGAAGGGAACAGCGCTCCGTGCGCCTTTGGCGTTGAGTCATGCTGGCCACATGACCACGGAGACGTCTTCAGACAGCACTGGCTCTTCGGCTTTGAAATGGAGATGAGCACCGCCCCCTAGAGTCGGGAACGACTAGCACATATGTGCGAGGGGAACCTTTACTTTTTAAGCTATTGGGAGGGGGAGGGGGAAATGCTAAGATTTGCATTTCTAATAAAAGCATACATTATTTGCATTTCCCAAACACGTCCTTTGAACTGGAGTATAATTATCCCTCTGGATCACAACATATTTTTCAAGGAGCAGCATTGCCTTGGGGAGGCACACACCAAGACGTGTTCAAAAATGCTCATGTATTGGAGAACGCACTTGCAGTAATGGAGCCTATTAGGATAAATCCATAGACACGTAAACAAATGCGTTTATGCCAGATGAAATGCGGAATTTTCCTCCCCTTCCAAAGGGTTATTAAGATTTACTTAAGACTCCGTAATTGAAAAAAACTCGCAAACGTCCGTCCGTTAAAAAACTTGCAACGTCGGCTGAGTTCTCCGCATCTTCTTCAGTCCTGGAGTTGTTGTTTTTCTTTTTTAAGATTTGGAATTTTCTTTTCTTTTTTCCAGTCGAGGTCAGGCATTTCAGGCAACATTGCATGCTAAAAGCAAAGCCAACGGTGGGACTGATACTATTTTTGAACAAGTATTGGGGGTGTTTCTAGCCCTCAGCATATACCGGGCAAGAAACAGCTTTGAAAACCGGAGGCAAGAAACTCACTTTGCTAACTTTGCGTCACCCTTAATTCCGTCGAGGCGGTGCATTAGAACCGATAGAAGCTTCTGATTTATTAATTACTGCTTTTCTTCGTCTTGCTTGTTTAGAAAAGGGTGGATCTGGGATCTGAAGCAAAGGGAGGAAAAAAAGCTATGGGGACGTAGCGTTGCCAGGAGCAACCTAAGAACTACAGTTCTGAAAATAATTGTCCCAGGAAACTTGGGGACTTGCTAGCGCTAACATGGCTCCTGAAAACAAGTTTAGGGGCCTCAAAAACCAGGGCAGAAAGAACTCAAATTAAATTGCTAAGGAACAAAAGCATATTGTGCTTGATCTTTGGCATCCGAGAGCTGGCAGCAGCTGTCCAAGCGTTCTCATTAGGGGGAAAAATAAAATAGTCTGTATTGAGGAAATAAGATTTTTTTTCCCCCTCTCTCCCTCTAAGGGATGATCAGTCATAGCCGAAACCCCCAAGGAGCAGGTGGTACTTTGGCTCTTCCGATCTGTTTATTTAATCATCCCTGCCTGCGGTTGGAGGCTGGCAGGGAAGTTGGCATTTTGCAAAGTGCCCACTCTTCCATGCCTATAACGGGAAAGCTTCGGAAGTATGTGGGAGAGATCCTGGTAGGCACAGATTCTCCTAGTCAAAGTTGGGAGGTGGTTGGTTTCCAAGCTACTGTAACCAAGAGGAGCAGTAAGGACTTCTCTCCTTTGTCTTAGATCGGTGTTTCTCAGCCTTGATAATTTTTAAGATGGGTGGGCTTCAACTCCCAGAATTCCCCGGCCAACAAGCTGAAGTTGAAGTCAAGTTGAAGTCCACCCATCTTATGTCAAACCAAGTTCAACCAAGTGGAACAATAAGTACTTCTCTCCTTTTAACTTAGATCAGTGTTTTTCAGCATTGGCAACTTTTAAGACGGGTGGACTTCTATTCCCTGGCCACCAAGCTGAGGTTGACGTTGAGTTGAAGTCCACCCATCTTAAAATAGAATTAGAATAGAATAGAATTCTTTATTGGCCAAGTATGATTGGACACACAAGGAATTTGTCTTTGGTGTATATGCTCTCAGTGTACATAAGGAGAATAAAATACATTCATCAAGAATAAAAAGTTACAACATTTAGTGATAGTCAAGGTTACTAATAAACTATAAAATCGTACTAGGAAACAAATAAAACAATATAAATTGAAAGATACAAGCAACATATAGTCATAAGTGGGAAGAGATAAATACTAGGAAAGAAGAGAAGAGTAATAGTAATACAGTCTTAGTAAATTGTTTGACAGTGTTGTGGGAATTAATTGTTAAGCAGTGTGATGGCGTTCGGGAAAAAACTGTCCTTGTGTCTAGTTGTTCTGATGTGCAGTGCTCTATAGCCTCGTTTTGAGAGTAGGAGTTGAAACAATTTATGTCCAGGGGTCTGTAAATATTTTCACAGCCCTCTTTTTGACTCGTGCAGTATACAGGTCCTCCATGGAAGGCAGGTTGGTAGCCATGTTTTTTTCTGCAGTTCTAATAATCCGTTGAAGTCTGTGTTTGTCTTGTTGGGTTGCAGAGCCAAACCAGACAGTTATGGAGGTGCAGATGACAGACTCAATCATTCCTCTGTAGAACTGAATCAGCAGCTCCTGGGGCAGTTTGAGCTTTCTGAGTTGGTGCAGAAAGAACATTCTTTGTTGTGCTTTTTTGATGACATTTTTGATGTTAGGTGACCATTTTAAGTCTTGAGATATGATAGAACCTAGAAACTTGAAGGCCTCTACTGTTGATACTGCATCGTCTAGTATTATAAGAGATGGTAGTATAGAAGGTTTTCTTCTAAAATCCACCACCATTTCTACGGTTTTGAGTGTATTTAGTTCAAGATTGTCCTGGTTGCACCACAAGGCTAGTTGTTCAACCTCCTGTCTGTATGCAGATTCATCGTTGTCTTGAATGAGACCAATCATTGTTGTATCATCTGCAAACTTCAGTATTTTAACAGAGAGATCTTTTGAAATGCATTCGTTAGTATGTAGAGAGAAGAAAAGTTGCAGAGGTTGAGAAATCCTGCTTTATATCATGTGCCCAGTGAACATTTACAGACCCAACACAAGATATAGAACATTTCTGACCCTAGTTAAATTTTACCAAGCCTTAATTTCAACATATTTTAAGATTAAGGCCAGCATACTTCCAAAAGATCCTCTTAAAAGCAACTGCTCCCATGGATGCTTTAACCTCCCAAGTCCAAGCATCCCCAGGCAGCATCACTGTCTGAATCCAAGAATGACTTACCTTGGGGCTCAGATGCCTCAAAAAGATTAGCCGATATTTCTAATTTTCATGAAAGAGTGTCATGAGGATCATGGTTTGTTTCCTATCCCAAAAGAATTCGTCTAATCTCTGGGCATTTTGACCATTGCCTCTTCCTTTTGCAAGCCAACAAAACCAATAATTAAACTCGCTC